TGGCCCAAGGTTCAGGATGCAGCTCTCAGCCTCTGCTCCAGCACTGTGTCTGCCATGCCTGCTGCCATGCTCCCTGCCATGATGACGGTGGACTGACCTCTGAAACCGTAAGCAAGCCCTCAATTAAATGTTTCCTTTTATAACAGTTGCCAAGGTCATGATGTCCTTTTCTAGCGATAGAACAATAACCAAGACAATTAATTTAACAAAATTTAATAAAAGATGCAAGGTGTATACCAAAAAAAAAACTACAAGATACAATTGAGAGAAATTAAAGAGGCAAAATAAACCTGTTATTTGGAACTTTAAAATAATTTAAACAGAGCAGGCCAGTGGTGGCACACGCCTTTAGTCCCAGCACTCAGGAGGCAGAGGCAGGTGGATCTCTGTGAGTTTGAGGTCAGTCTGGTCTACAGAGTGAGTTCCAGGACAGGCTCCAAAGCTGTCTTGGAGAAACCCTGTCTTGAAAAACAAGATAATAATGATAATAATAATAATAACAGTAACAATAATCATTTAAACAGCTCCTTATCAATGGGTATCCTATGCCTATAAAGATCAGTTGTTCAGACAGAAAACAGTCAGCCTGTCATCGCGCACACCACAAGTACCAGCCCTGAGAAGCAGAACCTGAAGTCACGTGAATTAGAACACGAAAGTTTGAGCTACACTGCAGGTTCTACAACAGGCTGTGGTGCACAGCGAGACTGCGCAAAAACATGAGAAAGAAAGAGAGAGAGAGGGAGAGTCCATCCATTTATGGCTGCTCTTCCACGGAGGCACCATCTCACTCACTATGAGTCTTCAAAATGTCTTCTTAAAACAGAGAGTCGTGACAGCTGGCTGGCCTAGTGCAAAGAGCAATGCTGAGACTACTTTTGTACTGCTTACCTTAAAGCCTATCACATCTAGTTTGTGTGTGGAGCACGAGGGTGAGTGTGTGTCACACGTGTGCACACAGCAGAGGACAAGCTCAGGTATTTCTCAGGTGCCCTTTGCTTTTTGCTCTGCTTTTTCAGTACTGAGGATTGAGCCTAGGCCATCACGCGAGCAAAGCAAACACCTACCAATGGGCTTCCGCCCCAGCCCCACCCACCTACTTTTTGGAACCAAGTTCAGTGGCATGGAATTTGCCAAGTGGAATTAGCTGGCTAGTACCTGAACCCCAAGGATCTGCCTGTCTCTACCTGCCCTGCACTGGAATCACAAGCATGCCACCATGCCCAGCATTTTTCTCGTGTGCTTTGGACATAAAACTTGGGTCATGATGTTCTCAAGGCAAGCACTTTAATGACATTTTTCTCCTGATAAATTGTTGAAAAATTCAAGACAAATTCAAGGCTACTAAGTAGCCCTTAAACTCACCTACGTAGCCCAGGCTGGCCTTGAACTCAGGATGACTGTACCCTGGTGTTCCAGTGTCGGGATTACAGTCGTGAACCACTACGCTCAGCTAAAAACTGTGACCTTTTTAAAGAACAGGAGCGACTGTTCACGAGCTGAGGTCCATCTGTGGTTTCTTAGATACAACACCACAACTGCAAGCCGCAGAAGAAGAAAAAATACTGGATTTCAACAAAATTAAAACTTTCATTTTTTTCAAGGGCAGAAAGTGAAAAGACAGCTCTGTTTCATCCTTCCCTAGAGAGATGTAAATAAGGCCTACCCCTCCTCCTAAAGTCCCAACAACAAACCTGGGCTTAATTCAACCGGTCCTACCACAGTTTACTGGGGGGTGGGAGGGAAACACCAATGAGTTTATTGGGCTTACTTACAGAGTAAGGGTGAGAGGTTATGGGCAGGAGGAGGGTGATCTTAAGGCAGCCGCTGGAGTTGCACCCAGCAGGGCTGATAGCTTCTCCCTGGCTATGTAGATGAAGTTCCCTCCCTTCATCCAACACTGATATCCTCTGGCCCTTCCCCCAGTAATTTAAGGTCTTCTGCGATTAGGGTAGAATTGCTACAGCTGGTTGTGGAGGACTAGCTGGATTCCAGGAGGGTCCCGTGGTCCTCCTGCCCCTTCTCTGGGAGGGAAGGTAAGAAATCAGCAGGCCCACTGTGAGGATCTTTTGTGAGCAGGCCCAGATGAATTCCTGGAGACACGACACTTCTGCTTTGAGGACAGTCCTGTACAACAAGGCCACAGAAGAGAGATTTAAGAGTATTTCAGATCACATATCTGATAAGGAACCTGCATCCGGAATCCACGATGATTTCTTACAGCTCAACACTGAAGACAGAAGCCAGTAAGTACATCAGAAGATGTCCTTTGTTACATAGGAACCGCGAGACAAGGATGGTGAGACCGTACTCCACACCCAGGGGCCCACTCTTCAGAGACAGATCCCAGTGAGGATATGGCGTCTCAACTACAGCTGGGAATGGGACACCACATATTCATGGCTGCTTTCATGGTATTCAAAAGTGCCTCAAAGAGTGAAGACAGAGCTTGATCTCACCCAGGAATCCTAGCTCTGCTTAGATACCCAGGAGAAATGAAAGCAGACACCCACACAAATACTCACACATGGGTCCTAATGAGAGTGTTACTCATAAGCTCAGAAGTGGAAACCCAAATGCCAACCATTAGCTAATGGTTGTATAAACAGAATGTGACACAGCCACATGGCGGAATATTATTTTGCTACTAAAAGGTATGCAATATGAGTTAACCTTGAAAATATGCTAACAGGAGACCACAGTGTCTAATTTCATTTCATGGGTCTAGAAGAGACAGTCGTGCAGACAGAATTAGCAGCGATGCGCAAAGATACATGCAGTCCCCCACACACGCACCAAGGCACATGTGTGCACATCACACACACACAAAAATAAAGCTCTTTACATTAAAAAGAGGGAGAGAGAGAATGTTTGCACTGAACACAACGCGTTCCGAAAACCTGGAGGAAAAGAAAACAAACGGTGTCTTTCCATAATGCCCTAAAAAGGATCCAGTATTAATAGTGTTCAAGCATGCGTTGCTAAGTGATCTTTACCATGGTAGGGGCCTCATAAAAAGGACCAACACAGATCTGGGCAGCAGGCGTTGATCAAGTGTGGTCTCTTCATACACTCGAGAAAAATGGTAACCGGATGTGAAGTAACTGGCAGTTCACCACAGCGACTGTGTACAATAAAACACTTTAGTACCAAAAACCTGCGATCTCTACCAGTGAAGAGAATGTAATCGACCCATGAGACGCTGGATAGTGTCACCGTTTCCGGTCATTCCCAAGTCTTAGGACTGTACCTAAGAGTGTGGGCTGTATGACGCATTGACCTGAAGCACAGTGGGCTGTTCATACCATCATCACACAAACACCCAGTGCCACATTGTGACGGCTGTGAAGTCACGAGGTACGGCACTCCTCCGGCTGTTATAATCTGAGACTGCCATCAAAGGTGATCTGCCATCCCCGGGAACCTGGTGACTACACTTGTGGTCCTACCTTGTTTTCTGCTGCTATGATAAAACTGTGACCACAGCAACTTAGAGGGGGATGTATATGGTGTTCATGGCCTGATTATTAGGGATAAACTCGGGGCAGGAACTCTAGCAGGAGCAGAATCAGGAACCATGGAGGAATGCTGTCATCGATTTGCCGTCCATTGCTGCTTCCGGCTGCTTGCTTTTTTTTTTTTCTTTTTCTTTTTTTTAAGGTTTTTATTTTGTTCATACAAATGCTTTGCCTGCACATACATCTGTACACCACATGCCTGCTGGTGCCTGAAGAAGACACCATGTGGATGTTGGGAATCGAACCCAGGTCCTTTGCAAGACCAAGCATTCTTAACCACTGACCCAAGTCTCTGGCCAAGACGGGAACAAATAGAGCTCAGCATGGGCCCTCGGTGAGGAGGACACACAGGTTGCTGAACCGTTTCATCCTTTTCATTCCTCGGTAGCCACTGAAAGGGTTGCCCTTCCTCTGGGATAAACAGCCTGCCAGCCACACTCAGACAAGAAATGCTAATCCAACTCCGGGCCACACACAAGAGGAAGCCATGAAGTAAGCGGGCGACTTGCCCAGAAGAGCCCTGCAGAAGAGAAAGATGAACTTGTGAGTGTGCGTGCGTGTGTGTGAAGATGACTAAAAGTCATTATATAAATGTACAAAACTATTGAACCAAAAATATTAAGTCAAGTTAGTTTTTTTAATTTTTAAATTAAGGCTCTTTTTTAAGGTTTATTTATTTATTTATTTTTGTTTTGTTTTTGTTTTTTTGAGACAAGGTTTCTCTGTAGCTTTGCAGCCTGTCCTAGAACTCACTCTGTAGACCAGGCTGGCCTTGAACTCACAGAGATCTGCCTGCCTCTGCCTCCTGAGTGCTAGGATTAAAGGCATGCACCACCACTGCCCTGCAAGATTTACTTATTTTTATTTTATATGTTCGAGTGCTTTTCCTGCGTGTATGTCTGGGCACCAGGTGTGTGTCTGGTGCCTGAGGAAGCCAGAGGCATTAGGTCCCCTGGAACTAGAGTTACAGAGAGCTGTAAGCAAAATTATGGGTCCTGGGAAGTGAACCTGGGTCCTCTAGAAAAGCAACCAGTGCTCTAACTATCTCTCCAGCCCCAAGGGGGGAAATTTTTTAATTTTTTAAAAAATTTATTTATTTTCATTTTACATGTATGAATGTTTGCCTGAATATGTTTGTGAACCATGTGCATGCAGTGCCAGTGGAGACCAGAAGAGGGCGTCAGATCCCCCAGCACTGGAGTTTCTGACATGTGAATGCCATGTGGGTGCTGGGCATTGAAGCCAACTCCTCTAGAAGGGCAGCTATTGCTGTTAACCATTGAGGCATCTCTCCAGCCCCACAAAGAAAACGTTTTGAGACTGTAAAGATTTGAGGCATGGGACGCTTCAGGAAGCTGGCCACCCTCAAGTGAGTATAGCCACAACACTTGGTAATTCTCACAAGGAATCCAGGGGCCTGCCATTCCTGCTAGAAAACTACTGAACGAGAATCTATCGGCAGTAATAAGACATTTCTCAGAGTACAGATTCCAGCTTAAACTTTATTTGTATACAAAAATATATTATAATGGGAAAAGCTTATTATTGTCTCCAACTATATATAAGTAATTACAAATATTTCCATAAACGCATTTTAAATTATAGAAGAGTTATGTTTAAGGAGTAAAAACACATTAGACAGGTCATCTGTTGAAACATGCTGCAGGCAGGTAAACAAAGTCAGTTTCACTGTCTGAGTTGCCCAGAGTTGGGCCCGATGGCAAAAGTTAGTGTAAGCCACGAACAGCCATGTGAGCCTTAGCTCCGCCCCCTCCTGCAGCCGATTCTTGGTAGCTGATTTTGCCAGGTGCTTGGAGCCTTCGGGAGTCTCACTCTTGTGGCCCAAGAACCCTGGCCTCCTTGCTTCACATACCTGAAAAGAAGACATAGGGTTAGTTAACCCTACCAGACGCTCACAATTCCCCTGCTTAACCACATCACATGGTCTCAGACGGGCATCAAAAGCAGTGTTAATGGCAGGTTTCCCGTGCAATGTATGTCTGACTAACTGGAACGGCTAGGAGGCCAGCTGCATAAAGTAGATAGACTTGCAGCATGGGCCTAATACAAATTGTGCTGCAATTAGAATAATCTCTGTCAAAACAGGCCTAGGTCTTCTGATGTCGGGTGGTGCAACACGGAAGAGAAAGGGGGCATCAAGCAAATACAGAGTGGGGGTGTTAAAACCCTGGCTAGTTAAAGTAGACTTTAAATTAATTTTTGAATCTAAATTTTTAAAATTTACCTATCTGGCAGAGTAAAAACATAGACTACTTCTTACAGAAAAAAAAAAAAGATCACTTTCACTAAATAATTCAGAAGTAAGAACAAAAAAATCTCAGAGTCCCTCATGAGGAGAGATGCTGAGGCCAGCAACCTCCCTGGGTTTCTGGGACCAAGCCTCCCGACCGCTGCGATCTTGTCCTTTTGAAGACGAGCACCCAGATAGAGTGTGACAGTTCTTTCCTCTAACACCTCCCACCCCACCCCACACATGTTGCAATTTTGACCCCATGTCTTCATCTGGGGTCACACGAAATGGGTAACCAACAGTGTAATCCCAAATTAGAAGCACGTATCTGCATACTGAATCTGAGTGGCTGGCGAGTTGGCACGGGTATCCCAGACCACTTCTCTTTGGCACTCAATCCTCACAAAAGTCTCAGCAGGCCCCTGCATCAAACCTGGGGTGTTATGAAGTGGACAGACCCCTCCGGCTCCCTGGAGGAATGTGTGTGTGTGACCCACCGGCTCGCTCCTTCTCTCAGAACCGGCAAGCAGTCCCCCACAGCAAAACTCTCCATTTTCTAAACAACATGCCATTGTCTGTGGCTGAACTGTTTGCACAGTTGGGAAAGCAACTCTGGCTACTCTCTGGCAAGTTTTTCCTCCACACCGCTTTCTGAGCCACTGCGGTCCTGTTTCTCCACTGAGAGCAGCGTATGATGTAACTTCCCACCCCCGGGCAGGCTGGGAAACATCACAGCGCGTTACCAAAGGTGTGGCTCAGTGTTCCTGCGATGTTTTAAACAGCACGCATGTACTCACTTGCTAATGTCCTGTCAAGATCGGCAATGAAGTCTTCGAGCTCTTTTGTGTCACCTAATTTGGCTGCAAAATAAAAATAAAAATAAAAATAAAAGAGTTCAGTTTCCCTCTCAAACACAGTTGATGGAAGATTACAGTTTCCGGATTATGGAAACCTGTCATCTTCAGAGACGTCACAGAATGTGCCCTGCATCAGCCCTTAGTGTCTCCTCCATGTTTACTTGTGTCTCAGCAGCTGACCCGGAGGACAGCCTCAGGGTTTGTTCTGTAGTCCACTACCACCCTAAGCCACCATCCTACCCACCTTCCTAACCTGGGAGATGGATCTCTTTGGTGTCTTAAAACTCTGGGAGACGGGGAGGGGGAGGAAGGCAAATTTTTTGCTCATGCTGCTGCTGGAGGGCAATACAGTGGCCCTCCGATGTGACATGAGACTAATATTCCTACTAGTTCATGTCAAATGGAACAGGGAACGTGTCGGCCCGTCCCATAGTAGCGCAGAGCTTTCGTGCAGACAGACATTGCTGTCTCTGCAGCCAGAGGTAGCTGCTTTCCTAATGCAGCTTACTTTCTTCTGTATGGTTTGTCACTTGTGCCTGCCTTCCTTGAAATGCATTGCTGAATATTTTCCTTTGCAGGGTACAAGCGGTTCATTGTTCTTAACTTTCAAGTACACTCGCCGCGGTGACTCCCCCCCCCCAACCCCTGCTGTAATTCCCACCTCTGGAGGATTAGGTAGCAGAGCTGGGCACTATGTAAGCCATTCTCTAGGCTGCTCGATCCCTGGAGTCCCCAGATCCATTACAGATTGGAGGCTGGACCACCGTCCAATCCCCTGAGGCTGCTAACTTTGCTGTTGAGAAGAGAACTTAAAAATATCCCTCTTTCTAGAAAGGGGGAAGTTCTGTTTGAACGCCAGGCGGAGACAAGTGAGGGGGTCGGCAAATTTCTTTTCAAGTTGGTTCCATTTTTATTGCATTTTGCAACTCTTTTCAGCAAGTTCAGTTTTCCTTGGAGGGGGAGGTGTCTTTGGTTCTCAAAAGGGTGCCTCTCCCTCTCCAATAAAACAGAACATTCAGCTCTCTAGCTGGTGAGACCAAAAACTAAGGGCTAATTCAAATCTCTTTAAACCAACCCTCTCTAGTCTATTCCTATCGAAGCACAGACAGGGTGGAGCTGCTGCTTTGAGACATGTCCATTTTATCCTATTAAAAAGATTCATTCATTCATTCATTTGGTGTGTGTTTATGTATGTGTGTCCCCATGTGCCCATGTGGAGATCAGAGGACATCCACCAAACAGTTCCAGAGATCAGACTCAGCTTGTTGGGCTTGGCAGCAAGCAGGCTTACCCACTGAGCCATCTCAACGGCCCCATGTTAGATCATTCTTGTCTCATAAAGACAGCTGCTAAACTGGTCACCCAAAAGCACTAGTGTTAACAGTTAATGAAATTTAAGAAAGAAAGAAAGAAAGAAAGAAAGAAAGAAAGAAAGAAAGAAAGAAGGAAGGAAGGAAGGAAGGAAGGAAGGAAGGAAGGAAGGAAGGAAGGAAAGAAGGAAGGAAGGTCTTCTCATCGCTACAAAGCCAAACTGCTGAGTCCTTATGAAACCAAACTAGTCCAGGAGGAAAATGAGAAGCACCCCCTCTGACACAAGACAGAATCCACACGTGGCCCAAATCCCACGAAACAACGCACTCTGTCACCCAAAAACTATTTATTGTCTTATCTCCTCACTTTGTACGCTAGGAAAGTCTGGCACACAAAATGGGGCGGGGCAGGGATAGAAGCAGTGGTGAGCTCACCTTTCCGAGGGGCGACAGTGGAAGTCAGCAGAGCTGGGGTGGAGTCCGTGGGAGAATTCAGTTTCTCATCGCTGAAGCTGAAGCTGTCCCTGTACAGCGAGTCTGCACCTTTAAGGAAGGAAGCCATATTCATTAGGTAATTCAAGCCTAGATCAAGAACAGGACTGCTGTGGATCAATCAACCATCCAGTCTTTCTTCAAACTGACCAGCCCTGAAGTAGAGCAGGAAATCTCTGCAGCCTTAAAACAAACAAACAACAAAAATCCAACCCAGTGCCTTTTCAGCCTCCGACAGAGAGTCTTTTTCTCTGTGTGTCTGCTTTATGTGTGTCCTCACTCCCAGAAATCAGCATGGTTTCAGCTGCTAGTTCTGTGTGCTCCTGTGTGCAACATTTGAGATTTCTCTGCTACTCCTGCTGCACTCAAAATTTTTTTCCTGCCTTTTAATTCTTTAACTGGTAGAGAAATCGAACCTCACCAAGACCCTGGCACTGTATCAGTGGTACACCGACCCGAGGCACACTAGTGATCCCAGCTCTCTGGAGGTAGAAACAAGAGGATCAGAAATTCAAGGTCATCCTCAGCTACATACTGAGTAAAATACATGAGACTCTGTCTTCCAAAGAGAGGAAAAAAAGAGGGGAACAGATGGGGTGGGCAGGCACTAAAGAGATGGCTTCTCCGTTAAGAACTAGCTGCTTTTGCCAGAGGACATAGGTTTGATTCCCAGCACCCACTTAGCAGCTTACAACACTCTGTAACTACAATTCTAGGGATCTAATGCCCCTTTCTGGCCTCCTTGGGCACTAGGCCCACAAGTGGTACACAGACATACATGCAGGCAAAACACCCATACACATAAAAAAATAAACGTAAACACTCCATATGCAATATTATTTCTCATGAAAGGCATTCTCTTCCTTCTAAACACCTTCCAAACATAAGCACAACATTGGGCCCCACGTCTAATAATTTCCCTCCCTGCTCATGAGTCTGGGTCCCACAGTTACCCACTCTTGTCCCTGACACAGTGAAGTCAAGAACAAAGATTGTTTTTGTTCCTGGCTGTTCATCTGTCACAATCAAGGGACTTCACAGTTCCTTCTGTTCTTATGCTCCAAATGTCAAAGCAGCAGCAGGCCAAGTCCCAGCCAGGCCAGACTGCACCAGGGCCAGGAGCGGGTTAGCTACTCCCTGCTTAAGGGTGCTTATAGGGTCATATTCTGGTGCTCAGTAAGATGGAAAGATAGACAATCTTTCCAGTCCCTCCAGTGCTGAGATCCTAAATCCTGACAAAGCAGAGGAAGTCAGCGCAGCTCTGAGGTGGTATGGAGCCTCAGAGACACAGGAGGTTAACGGAAGCAGGATGTGGCCCCAGAGGTGGTAGCAAGGGAGGAAGGCGCTCCTCTGGTTAGAAACGGAAAGTCAAGCCACTCCGCAGCAGCAGGAGCTCTGGGAAGGCTCTTCAGGTGAGCAGCTGAATAACGAGGGCCTGGCCAGGTCCCTTCTCCCCCTGGAGGCTCCTGTCCTTCAAGCCATTTCTCTCTAGTTCGGGGAGAGTCAACATGTCTTGCTTTAGTTCTGCTAACTCAAAATAAACTTGTCTAAATTATTTTTTTATGTGCTCAGAATAAAAGAAAAACTGGTCTCTGAAAGAAGTTTCCTATAGTCACATGAGAACTGAGCCTATCACTAAAAGGCTGCCACACCCCCTCAGGTGGTCTTGTCTGACCATGTCCTTTGCCTTCTGACCAGAAGGACCCAGGGCCCTCTTGGCCTGTATACCCACTTCACCCACTTCACCCACTTCTCCAAACAGTCCAGCAGAACCTCATGAACAACCACTATGATCTTTTCTTCCTTCCAGAGTTCTAGCCCAGGTCACCTTAAAGGACCACAGTCGTTTTTCAGGCCTTCGATGATGGACCCATACCCAGGTCCTTAACACTGAACCTTAGACCCATACACACTATCCGAAAATATCATCACCAGCTCCCACCTCTGGAATGCAGGCCCTTGACATGTGTGACCAACTAGGTTCCGGCAATACCAAGAACACTGTTGATCATTCCCCTATGACTGTCCTGATGTCTTGTGATGAAGACACAGTCTGTCCCCAGTCCTACTTCCCAAGCATACTTGACAACTGGACACTTTGTGGCCCTCCTATTAATTAATATCTTAGGACATTAGAACTCTCTAGAACGTGAGTTGGAAGCCCTTCCGTTTGTTTTTTTCGGCTGTGTACGCCTGTAGAACAGCGGTCGCGATAGCAGTCCCCGGCACACGGGAAGGTGCAGCACATCTGTTTAGATCCCTGGATGAGCATCACTTTATCGCTGCCAATAACCGGGGGATCACACAGATACAGATAGAGAAACATGAGGAGAAGGCAGAGTCATCTTTGGGACTCAGGCCAAAGCCCCTGTCACAGAATCCTTGTCTCTGAAAGAGACCCAAGAACATCATCCCATCTTTGGATCAGACAGAGTTCCCGCTCTGAGACTCTCTACTCCAGAACTTAAAGGCCACCCCTCCCTGCTCTCTATCTCTCAGAACAGCTGGCACTTGAGGGCCACTCTCAATACCACACCTCTTTTCACCCCACCCTGCATACACCACGGTCCTTCCCCCTAGCTTTGAATTTCATCTCTGCTCGACTCCTACCCTCAAGAAATTTTATATTCACATATAATCATGCTTCAAGATTAGGGATGGGGAGAAACCAGCTTGGTTCACCTTCCGAACAACTGGCCAACTACTATTGGCTGTTTACAGAGGCAACAGAATCAACGTGGAAAAGGCATTGCAAAAGAAGGTAGCAGAGAAAAAAACAACCAAAGAGGAATAACGGAGATTCTGATCCCGATATTGTGGAGAGAGAGGCTGTGGGGAAGAAGTCATAGTCTCAGGGGACCATCCTGGCTTGCCTTTGATCCTTCAAAATCTAGTTCGTATGAGAAAGTCCTTAACCCAAGCACTTTCCTCAAGATCAGAAAATAGAATATGACTTTATCCTGACAAATAAATGCAGTTATAGGCCAGGCTGTTTGACTTGCAGTTGCCTCGTTGCTAATGAAGTCATACTGCTCTCATAATGAGGGAGGTGGCAGGGATAACATACAGCATCTACACAAATATGTGCATATAGAGGAAGTCAGCATAGCCTGTATTCACCTCCCTTCTCCCTGCGCCCCTCCCACACACACAATCTCCTATCCTGTCAGCTCATTGCCACTCCATGATTCGACCCTCTCCCCGTGTCTTTCTCACACACCAGGCCAACTCCAGGCTCTAGTGTGTTTGACCTTCAACTCTGAAGAAGAAATGAACTCCCAGGACCTTTGACCACGCAGACCCTTCTGGACGCCCCCGCGGCAATAGTTTACACACAGCAGTTAATAGGGGGCGGAGAACAAGGGAAAGAGCAAACCCAAGTCCCTGGTCCCTGAAGCTCTGCCTCTGTGGAAAGGGTGGGGGAGCAGAGGCCACGTGAAAGGCAACAGCAACCTAGGCCTTCTGTGTGTGCTGCCTGTGGCTTCCGAATGGTCTGACCTTCAAGAAAAATGGAGAAGAGCGTGTTCAGAAAGGTGGGCGTTATCACTGAGGAGAAAACAACCAAGATACCAAGCGCTGGCTTCCTGCCATTTTCAGATTGTAACAGGTTTTTTTTTTTAAAACTTTCTCTTCAAAAGTGACCAAGAACAAACCCACAACACAGAGACCCAAACGCTAAACTTCTCTACCCGTTATTTACCCACACAGGCTTTTATCAAGAGCCTGTCTGAACGGAATCTCACGCTAGAGGTTGTGGCAGATGAGTAGGTAAGCAAGGCCTAAGCCCCTGTTCTGGTCACCCCCTTAGAACTCTAGTTCTTGGGAAAATAATATTTAGTCAGTCTGATAAAATGCCAGCAGTGTGTCTCTGGCTGATAGCACGTGTGTGTATGGCTACCCCGCCCTGCTATCTGGTATTGCTATTAATTGTTATGATGGCTTGAGGGACCTTCATAAGTGGTAAAGCAGACCTTAAAATATCTATTTCAGACTGCTTTGAAGCCCCACCTCACTAATCCAATCCCCATTACAAATGTTCTTTAAAGTCCTGGTCCATTTTAATGCATTAAAGTCTCAGATCTGAGAATGAGTGTCCTAAGGGACCATCAAAAGAAATAACATGCACAACTCCATAAGTTTAGGTATACCTATCAAACATAAGGAACTTATAACACAAACAGAAGTTTTGTTTAAAAGATATATATATATAATATATATAACATATATATGCACATATATGCATACACACATGTATGTTTCTTTTTTATCTTAATTTGGGGGGTTGGGAGAAAGGTAATTTAGGGTTAGAACAGCCATGTGCTACTCCAGAGAAAAGTAAACCGCAGACAGTGAGCCCTGCCCAGAGGGGCTGCAAATATAGATCCTTCCCACACATCTGCAGCAAGCAAACTACAGTAATTACCAGGAAAGGAGAGTACCAGGCCAATGTCACTGTCCCCCAGGGAATGGCAGGAATGAGGGTCTCTCTCCTCCAAACCTAACTTCTGACAGTCGACTCCAGTGAAGCCAGGCACAGTGGAAAAGATCCCTGGCTCTCAGCTTGATCATCATGGGGGTCTGAAGCCAGCCTGGTCTACAAAGTGAATTCCAGGCCAGGCAGGGGTACAGTAAGACCCTGTTTTGAAAGAATCTAAGTAAATAAAATATATATTATTCTAAAAACAAAACAAAAAAACTTTAACTAAAGATGTTCAATTTCTACAGCACCTCAAAGGGCCAAGGCTAAAAACCACTTTCCTAGCTCCCAACTGCTTTGCCCTTTCACTGAGAAACTTAGAATTATTCCTAATAAAGTGCTACAGGAAAGACACAGCCCCTTTGAAAATCCATTTTCATTTATTGCTGATGTGAATGGGTGTGTCTGTGCATGTGAGCACAGGTGGCCTTCGAGGCCAGAGATCTCAGATCCCCCTGGAACCGGAGTTCCTGGCAGTTGTGAGCTGTTCAGCATGGGTGATGGGAATCCAACTCCAGTCCTCTTAAAAAAGCAGTACCTATTTCTAACCCCTGTACCATCTCTCCAGTCCTGCAATCTAATTTTTATTTGTTTTTCGAGACAGGGTTTCTCTGTGTAGCTTTGGAGCCTGTTCTGGAGCTTGCTCTGTAGATCAGGCTGGCCTTGAACTCACAGAGATCCACCTGCACAACCTGATTTTTTTTTTAGTGAGAAATAGAAGGTATTTTTCAAAAATCAGGAATATGCATCACTTATGTCCACTGATCTTTGATCCCGAGAACCTTGAAAAGGACCTGCAATGCCGTGTATGAAAAGACACAGGATCTGAGCACAGTGGAGCGCCAGGATACTCCCACACTCTGGTTCACATTCTAACCAACCAGCTGTGATGACAGAGCAAGGCCGTAGATGGTCAACCTGTATTCCATTATTTTATCAAAGAAATTAATGAAGATAAAAGTGCCTAACTTGTAGGACTGAGGTAAAGATTATATGTGCTAACATTCAAAGACTAGCAAGAGGTAACCGATAACAAGAGCCAACAAGTCATGAGTCTGCAACCCTAGTGAGGGCCTGGTAAAAGTAAGCCAGCTGCCGCTGCCACCATTATAAACCTGGCTGCCCTCTCTGGAGAGTTAAGTTCCAGGGGTCTGCACCTCTCCCGGGCATTCTCTTCCTCCAAACAGACAAAGGAGTGTAACAAATGTCCGCCCCCTGTTCCTGGAGACAATTAAGACATACTCATTATGTATCCTTAAGAAAGCATTATTTAGATACACACAAATCCCACCATGACTGTTTTTGAGCTCTCACGTGGGGAACAAACCATGCTGACAGCAAAGATCAGGGTCACCACTCTTTCTCAGGCCCTTCCCACTACTTCTCCAACCACCACACTACAGGCTTAAGGTTAACAACAAAAGCAGAAACTGAAAAACACAGAAAACAACCAGTTCTATCAACTATCTCCCAAACTGCTAAGAAACTGTCTTTAATGCAATCTCTTCTAAGACTCCTAAAAACACCTCCTAGATCTGAGCTCCCTCTTGGCAGAACTTGTAGATGCTGTCTGCCATAACTGGACAAGGTCAGACCCCCAATCCAGCAGGAGGCTCTGGTATAGCAAGGAGTTGTCCTTGACCACAGGGCAGTAGTGACAGACCCAACCATCTCTTCTGTGGAGAAGAGAATTTCCACACAATGAATAACTTGGACACCATCCCAACGGATGGAGATATATTCAAGTTACGCCACAGGTATTGAGACAGATTTCCAAGACAAGACTTGGCCTGGAATGCTGGGAATAAGCAGGCAGTTCATTAGCATCAAAGAGTAAAAGTTGTAAACAGAAAGGAACCGCTCACCCGCCCCCTCTGCCATCACACCGTGGTCTGTGCAGGCTGCTAGGGAAAATCCAAAAGAAACTAGAGTTCAGGTTTCTGACACAAACCCCGACCAGGATGTCAACCATTATCCCTTTCCAGGAGGATAACTCAGATCTCACTGATCTTCCCCGGGTCATAAGGAAGAAGTCTCTAGATTTCAAAACAACACCAGGCTTTTGACTCCCAGGATCCGGGACAGCAGAGCTAACGATGTGCCTGCAGCCTGGCTAGGAAGTAAGTAAGTGCTCTTGAACAAACAGAATGTAAAATTCACATTGAAAAACAGCGAGTAAGCTAGGGCTTGAAAAACAATTACGTAACAATAAAACGTCTCCAAATTCGCTATTTGACACCTGCACAGATATCCGGGATCTTGTAGGTCCCTTGAGTTATTGAACTCCCCGCCCCCTCACACACACACACTTTCTTTCTACCAAAGTTATTAGGACAGAGGCACTATGGAAAAGGATATCAGGATGAACCTCTCCCTACTGGCAACCACGGGAGGTGGAGGTGGGAGAGCTGCGAGAAACCCAGTACTTGAACTCTGCGGCCCCTGGGAGGGTGGTTTCAAAATTGCCTGGGGTGGTGAAAGAGCCCGGGAGCTCAGAAGAACGGGAATGAAACTATTTCAAAAATTCCAAAGCCAGCAGCTTATGAAACCATTTTGGTTTCACAAATGTTTCATTATTGTGCTCGCCCGTGTCCCCAAGTCCCCAAACACCCATTTCGGAAAAGAAAAGAGAAGGCGCTATTGGTTTAGCATTGACCTTGTGTGCAAGTAGCCCTAGGTCTGGACCCCCAGGACTGCCCACGCTGAACATGCTGGCACGCCTCTGTGATCCCAGCACCTGAAGCCCAAGGAAGGAGGATCAGAAGTTCAAGGTCATTCTCAGCTAGGTCTCCTTAGGAGTGATCTCAGTAAAGTTTTTTTTAAAAAATGAAGAGCAGGGAGCAAAGCGAGAAACTGTTGGAAGACCTGGCCCGGGTCCCAGGAGCTCTTGCTGACTTTAGAAACACTCAGGCTTCATGACAGACACCTGCCATGACAGGTAGACTCACAGAGTCCATCAAGAGTCGTGTCCCGTCCCGTCCCCCCACACTCCCCCGGATTGCCATCACGCCCCCACTCACGCACACCTGGGCTTAAAACTCAGAGCCGGTGCGCAGCCTCGGGTCTGAGTTTCCTGGACACCGTGCCTCAGTTTACAGATACCCCAGCTGACGCTAGAGCCCTAGGAAGCCGGAGCCCTGGGGCCACTGGCTTCAACAGGGCCTCACTTACTCTCTGAGTCGCTGAAGCCGCTGCTGTCGCTGACGCTGGCGCTGCTGCGCCTCTTCATGCGCTCCAGGTGCTCCTCATAGTGGAAGTGGCGGGCATGGAAGGGCGATGCGAAGTCGGCCAGCACGGCGTCGAACTCGCACAGCACGTCCGTCAGGTCTGCAGCGGCCGCTGAGTCCATTGCCGGGGCTGGGGGCGGGCACAGAGCGCTCAGTGAACGGCAACGTGGGTAGGGGTGACTCTCCCCCTGCCCGGGAGGATCTGCAGAGGCGGGCACCGGACTAGGACGGCTAACTTCACTCTGCATTTGCCGGTGACAGCAGCACAGCTACCTTGTAACCGCTCAACCACCCTCCAAAGCGCCTGTCACCAGACCCAGACGAGCAGCAGCCTCCGTGGGTGAAAAGCCTGGACGTCACCTAGCCCACCCCACGCGCTTTCCTACTTGTGCCCACGCTCACTCCCTGGAGCGAGTGGCGGCGGGAAGTCTGAGTCAGCAAGCACCCGTTACGTGTCAGGCTCAGATCTTTGTCCCGCGTGGGAAACCAAACTGAACTGGCCCCAGCCGTGCGACCCGGGGATGGGGTGCCGGGGTGATGGAGGATTAAGGGTGGTCAATGGAAAGAGAGTATCGCAACCCCTGATCTCTCACCCCCACCTGCAGGCTCGGGCTCTCAGAGTCCCGGGACTCGGGGTGTTGCTTATCGTGGACGGAGTCCCTGAATTCGATCCCGGGGCGCAGAGATGGAGCGGGCACCCTCAACCCGGCACTTACCTGCGGCCGAAGCCGCCGCAGGGCTACCCTGAATCGAGGGCGGCTTCATGGAGAGGTCGCTCGCCTACACGCGTGGCAGAGATGCCGCGAGGTGCTGGCCCTGGTGGCGACCGCCTTGCACTGCAGTCCGCTCGGGTGGCCCGGCCTTGCGCTCGCTCCTCGCTTGCGCCGCCACCCGCCGGCTTCACAGTCTTATAGCCACGGGCCGGGGCGGGGCGAGGCGGGGCCGCTGAGTCTGTCCTAGACGACCTAGGGGACGTCCCTGTCCCCCCCCCCCCATCCTCTACCCCGTCACCGCCCTCGCCACGCGCCCGCCGGCCTAGAACCGCAGTGACGACTTGTGTCGCCGGAGCCCGGGTTACCGCCCCAAATATTTACCCGCCGCTTTCCCCCGCCACCCTGACAACCCGACCCACGGATGTGTCTATGCCGACCTATGGGTGAGTTCCTCAAGAGTTTATCCTGCTTCCCGCCGTCTGTCAGAGCCTCCTTGAGCCTTCGATTCCTCATCTGTGAAATGGAACTGCAAATGCAGAGCCTCCTTGCTTGTTACAAAAGTAAAGGAACGGAGGGCCTCAGTAGGTAGTACGAGGGCAGAGTTTCCCCTACCCGATTTTCCCAAAGAATTTACAAGATTGCGTGTGGACAGAGTGGACAGCTGGGGCCATGGGCTTAAGTGAAATCGGTCTTCAGTTGAGGTGATCTTAGAATTTAGGGTCCTGAACTGCAGGAAGAAAGCACCTCATGAAAGAATGCATTCTGTACTGAGTCCCCATGACTAGCCATCCATCCACATTTAGTATGGCCCAGTTTAATTCCTGACTCAGACCGTGTGTTGGCAAACAGGGTGACCAATTGCTCTTTGCAACAGACAGCTATTTAAAAATCAAGAGGCCTGTGTGGCCTATGCCTACAGTTCCAGACCTCAGGATGCTGGAAGGCAGGGCTGAGGCAAGAGAATGGAGATTATGAGGACTGCAATGTGTGACCTACACAGCGGTAATGCTGTCTGTAAAGTGCTTACCATGCAAGCATAAAGACCCGAGTTCAAACTCCAAAGCCCACGTTAAAATTTTAAAAGGCAGTCGTGGCGCACGCCTTTAATCCCAGCATTCGGGAGGCACAGGCAGGTGGGTCTCTGTGAGTTCAAGACCTGTCTGGTCTACAAAGTGAGTTCCAGGACAGTCAGTGATACACAGAGAAACCCTGTCTCAAAAAATATAATAATAAGGGGCTGGAGAGATGGCTCAGTGGTTAAGAGCATTGCCTGCTCTTCCAAAGGTCCTGAGTTCAATTCCCAGCAACCACATGGTGGCTCACAACCATCTGTAGTGAGGCTTTGTGCCCTCTTCAGGCCTGCAGGCATACATGCAGACAGATACTGTATACATAATAAAAAATACATAAATATTAAAAAAAATATATAATAATAACAACAACAACAACAAAGCCTAGATGGCCAGCCATTTGTAATCCCAGCCTTAGAGGCAGAGGCTGGAAGATTCCTGGGGCTCCTCAACTTAGCCCAACGTGAGAACTCCAGGCTAATGAAAAGCCCTATCCTTTTTTTTCTTTAAGACAGGGTTTCTCTGTGTAACTTTTGACTGTCTGGAAACTCTCTCTTGTAGACCGGGCTAGCCTTGAACTCACAGAGATTCAACTGCCTTTTCCTCCCAAGTGCTGGGATTAACAGTGTGAGCCACCATTGCCCGGCAAAAAATTCTATCTTAAAAAACCAAACCAGATACTCGGGAGGCAAAGGCAGGTGGATCTCTGTGAGTTTGAGGACAGCCTTGTCTACAAGAGAGAGTTTTCAGACAGTCAAAAGTTACACAGAGAAACCCTGTTTCAAAAAACTAAAAATGAAGCAAACAAACAAAAACCCAAGGTGGGCAGTGCCCAAGAAATCACACTTCAGGGTTGACACAAATGTCAACCCTGACACAAATACACCTGTGTACATACCTGCACATGCTACACACACACAAACAATACGTTAATTAAATGTCAAGCAAGGAGCTGGTGGCAGCTGGGACTATCACTGAGTGATAAAGTGCTTGCCTAGCATGGGTGAATCCTCTGTTTGAGGTCTCATCCCCAGAACTGCAAATAAATAAACAAATATTTTCATAAATAAATGTAAACCAGTTAAAATGGAATAAAATGAACATTTCCAGTCCCTCGGTTGCACTAGGCACTTCTAAGTGATCAGTAGCCTTCATCACAGAACCTTTGGACCGTGTTGGATGAGGCCGTCTTCCCCTGGTGACTCCAGGCCTCCCAGGTGTCAGGATGTGGCACTGGCATGCACCAGGTCTCGGTTTAATCCCTGTCACTGGTTTGCAGTGAGCAAACTGAGACACAGGCCACTAAGTAGCTTGCCTGCCCATCAGTGGGTTAACAGAAGGAAAACCAGCCTCCTTTTCAAGCCTCTCTGAGGTTAGCCACACCCTGCCTCCCTGGGGTGGAGGGAGCTAAGAAGCTAAGGGAGGCACCAAACCCCAGAGCAGATACCGGGGGTCCCAGAAACCACAGACAAGGTACTTCCTTTCACCTGCTCTCCCTACATACCCCACACCCCTTCTCTCCCCAAAAGTATTCTTTTTTTTTTTTTTTTTCTTTTTGATTTGGCCATGGCACCCACTGTTCAGGCCCTGAGCTAGGAGCTGCAGCCAAAAAGATGCCAATTATAAGTTCATGTGGTACCTGGAACACAGCTTATTTCTCCATCACCCAGCTGGTGGGCAACTGGGTTGCTCCCAGCCCGTCCCCACATGCATCTCGATGCTGACATGCTGACATGGGCTTCTGCCCGAGTGTTGATCCTGATTTCTTCCCTAGAAGCAGGGAAAGGTTTAAACCCTTAGTCCCCAGGGCCTTCTGGCTGGGCTCCATATCCTATCCTGGGGCCTTTTATGGCCCCCAGCCATCTGACTGCCGAATGACCTCAGTGTTCAGGTGTGAACTTGCCCCTCAGGACAGGGAGGGAGCTGTATGGTTCACCTCCTCACACTCAGAGTTTCCTAACTTCCCAGAAGTCATTGGTCACTGGACACAATGACCTCAAGAAGAAGACTTGACGTCGCCTTTGGTTTGCAGTAGAGAAAGGAGGACTTCTTGCCCTTTATCTGGACTAGCTGCTCCCTTGTCTACTTTGCTGTCCTAGAACAAATTATCTGAGTAATTTGTAAACCACGGAAATGTCTTTCTCTCTATTCTGAAGGCTATAGGATGCCTAAGACCAAGACTCCACTACTGTCTGGTGAGGGCTTGCTGTATCCTTGTGTGCGTGCGTGACAAAAAGAAGGAAAGAGAACACACTGCCCCCCCACCTCAGGCGCTCGCCCCTAATTTCACCTGGGAGGACTCTACTCCGGTGAAGGCCAGCTCAGGAAGGCCCCCATGTTTGACAGGATCAAATTTGCAATTAAATCACAATGCTCAGACTTCACCCCGAGGTTTGCCCCATCCCTGCACACTGCTCACGACTCTTCTTTTGAAACTTGTCCAGGGCATCGCCCAAGAGTTTCATCGTTCTGGATCCCCCCGAGGTTTCACGGAGGATTTTATTATCATGGCTGAACTCTGAACTCTGGCTCCCACCTGTCTCCCCTGGATCCTTTTTTCTCATCCCTCGCTTTCTCTCAGTCACCTCACTCCCCTCTCCGGAAAGTATAACTATAATTCACTCACTTTCATTTTTTTTTTAACTTTCAGAGTTGATTTTCTCCCCTTACACGTCTTATACTCGGTTCCCTGTAGGACTTCTGCCCTTGATAATCCTCCACAGACACTCTACGGAAGAAACTTCTCGCTGCCTCTGTAAATAAACAGATGGCCTCGCGCATTCCTGAAACAGTATGTTCCCAGGAGCTTGAGCTAAGACTGGAGATGTGACGAACTTTGGGACAGCAGACAGAGCTAGGCCATGTGTCCTCCTCGGTCTCCCTCACTTCTCTGGGGTGTCATGAAGTGGCTACATCAACCAACACTGGGTAATCAACATCTACAGGAGACGAAGATAAAATAAAACGTCAAGGACTGGAGATGCAGATCAGGAGACAGGTGTGTGAGGTTCTGGGTTCGATACTCAAAACCAGCAAACGCAGATGAGCAAACTGAAAGGGCTGTTTTGTGTGAGCTCCTGGGGTTGGGGGAGTTCCGGTCCATACCATTGAACTTTACCCTTAAAGCTTCCTGCGTCAAATAAATGCCATCCGAGCCTCCTCAGTGATGGTGCTGTAACTCTAAGAGACAGACTTTCCTTTCTCCTTAGGCTAGCTTGAGTCATGTTTCAGTATGTCTGCCCATCCATAGCTAAGCTGTCCATAGAGCGATGACTTAGAACAACAGGAATGTATTGTCTCCCAGAGCTCTGAAGATGGGAAAGCTGGGATCACATTCCGGCTGGGCTGGCTTCTTCTGGGAAGAAGTGAGGATCTGCTCTGTGCCTCTGCTTGGTTCCTGGGTGTGTGCAGGCCATCCTCGGTGTCTCAGGCTTGGTGATGTGTCACCCTGACCTGGTTGTCACATGATATCCCCTGCATGTCCGCCTGGGTCATGTCTCTTCTCTTTGAAGGGTAGCAACTGCTACCTTACATGTAGGATTAGCTTGCCCTAACTTCGGATGGACGACCTTACCCTAACTCCATCTTGTCTCCAAAGACCCCATTTCCCAGTAAGTCACATCCATAGGTACCTGGGCAAATCTGAGAGTATGGCATATTTAACCCATGGCAGGAACATACGCCTGAACTGATCAGCATCAATGAAAACCATATTAAAGAGGATGGGGTGTCAAGACTTGGTTTGTATAAGGTTATGATGGTGAAGACTAGTTTGAGATGTAACTTGGTGGTCTGCTCGCACAAGTCCCAGCATTGGCTCATTCTCTGCGGTTGTAACCGACTACTGGTATTGGAGGTCCTTCCGTCTGTTGCTTTTATTGACTAATGAATGAAGAAGCTGTTTTTGGTCAGTGACTTAACAGAACATGGCCAGACTGAAAGAGATATAGAGAGAGTAGGCGGAGTCAGGGAGAAGCCATGTAGCCCCTCCAGAGACAGACGCTGGGTGGGACTTTGCCTGTAAGGCACAGCCACATTGTACGGCCAAGCCTGCTCTATGTGGTACAGTTTGCAAGTCGGGCAAGGGCCTGGAGACTGAGACACAGACACAC